AGCAACTCCGCCTGACCAATCAGTAGTAGCTAGTATAATTTATGACTGCTTGCATAGTGATTATGGACAGATTTCGTTGAACAGCCCTCGATTTCACGACTTTCGTGAAATTTCTATTCATTTCGAATTTTCAAGCCTATGGCCGTTATTGATTGGGGAGGGGCGGAGTTACTGTGTTGATAGGTGGCGTCACTTGCACTTTCCTCTCTAACTCATTTACCAGTAGCTCCCTGAACTTCTTGAGACAGTTCCTTCTTTTTCAAAACGTTATTTTATTTATTTTGATTTTTTATTAATTTTTAAAATTTTTTACCCTATTTCAGCATGCGATGCGTGCGCGTGACGCGGCTATACTCGCCGATTTGCATCGCGTCGAATCGCAGATCCAAAGCGTCAAGATGGCTCGACTGGGTGTGTATGGATCATCTCCACAACCAGTTCAGAGCCTACCAATCTGACGGGCGTTCACCTCGTTAGTACTAGTTGTCCGCTTTACTTAAAATGTGTCAGTTGTCCGTATCCACTACTTATATCGGTGTCTATCATGATTTATTATTTCTCGTCAATTTTCTCACATATATGTTGTTTTATTCTGCTAGAGGGTCCCAGGAATCAGATTTCCTGGGGCACTTCCACCCTGTATCGATTTCTCTATTGATTTCTATTGATTGGTTATTGTATGGTTAGAAAAGCGACTCACAATCATATCTCTAGTCGCGTAAGGCTCTCTTTATCGTCGTATATCCTTCGTTTTTCCTCTTTTCCTCTCGTTTATTGATTTATTGATTTACTCCCCCAGTGTACATTATAGCATGTGACCCTTTATTGTGTGCGGGTTAGAATTTTTATCATGATATAATAATAATGATGATGTTGATGTAACCACTTGTAAGGCCTACCTACCCAAGTTCGCTTGCAATCCCTGGTAATCTAACCCCAGTGTCTAAATTTTGATGAACCCAGAAAAATTGCCACTAAAGAGGCGTTCGACAGTCTCCGAGGTCCTTCTCCTTCAGGAAAAGATAACCGTTCACAGAGACGCTATAGTCGCCTGTTCGATCCTTTTACCCTGTATTACTGTAATTTTTCAATAATTTTGTGTCAATAAATATTATTATGATAGCGGTGGTCCAACTTCCTAAGATCAGGATACAGTGCTGAAAATGTGAGCAAAAGGAGATCAAGAACACATTATATTTTGGGCGGAGGCAGCGTAGCGGCAAGAGGCGCCCCTTCCTAAGCGCACGGTTCGGAAGCGGAATTGAAGCGGATCGACTCCCGCCTGAGCTTACCAAGTCTTTCATTCCCCCGGGGGAGAAGAGTAAATTGGTACCATGCTCCTCTGAACGTGCAGCAAACTTTCTTGGCGATATTGTATTCAAATTGGGACAGGGATTATCAATGGAAGCGGAGGGCGTGGCGCATCTCCAGGAGAGGGGCTGACGCCGAAAATTCTTTAACCATTTTGGGTATTTTGTTAGAAGAGCGCTTTGATTCTACTCTCTCAATTACTATGGGACTACTACTTCTTCGTTATCTCGGAAGTGTCTCTGGCAGGTGCTTCATGGGTGAACTTCTTTTTCCTGGTGCGTTCGGTGCAACTGCGCAGTGGCATGGAGGGCGTATCTTGTCGGTACCATCAGGGTTCTCTTCCGCCTTGTTGCACTCTTTTGCCGATCGTTAAACTAACTGTCTGTAGTCTCCTTCTTAGAGGATGCTTGCACTTGTCAGGTTTGTAATACGATTCAGCTGTGGATGGGATCTGCCCGTGGTAACAGCAGGGGGTTAATGTCGGAGTTTTTGTCGTTTGAGGCGAAGGACCGGTGGTTGGCGATCCCTCCTGGTTCCAGTCCTCCAACAGCGGTCGTCCTACCAATCGGAACGACCGCTGTTGGAGGACTGGAACCAGGAGGGATCGCCCGCAGTTGGAGGAATGGAACCAGGGAGGGATATGAACCGTAACAGCCTCCAGTGCACCCGGGAGTGGCTCCCATCAAAATCCATTGGAACGTCGGTTGGCTTTCAGTGAGTGTTTGTAGAAATGCTGTGTA